ACGCCCCCCGCCCGGCGCGCGGGCTTGGGGATTTTGGGAAGTTGAAGCCCACATACCTAAAAGCTGCCAAGCTTGAGAAGCGCTGCATTATGCAGACAGGGGCAGGCTGCCCTTCACCCCCTGCACGGAGCCTTTCCAAACACGTGCACCATCCGTCTCCAACCTGCCACTCTCCTCCTTGAGACTTTCTAGGCAGAGAGGCTTCAAGGCAGCTGCGCGTCCTACACATCTGGAGAACATGAGGCTGGAAAGGCTCCTGCAGAGAGAGCGAGAGAGATTCGGTCCCTCCCCCAGATGTCTCAGGCCAGAAAAACAGCCGACCCAAAGGGCCGGGATGCTGACCGACCGAAGCCGCTCTTGCCTTTCTCCCGGTGGCCTCCCGGACTGTTGGAAGCCCCCTCTGGGCTGCCTGGGAGATGAAAGGAGTAATCTCTGCAATGAGATTATTAGACTGAAGGCTTAATCCCCAAATCCATCTGTACATGAAAACCGCCCCCCTCGCCTGCCTCCCCCCATGAGCACTGTTTGCAGAGCGTGAATGAAGCAAGGGAACCTCTCCTAGGGGAGGAGCAGGAGGGGGTGGAAGGACTGGATCCTGACCCCCCCCCCCCGGGATTTAATGAGAGGTGCTAAGGGCCAAGGCCAAGCTGCCAGGGATGAGGGGGGAGGATGTTTGTCAGGACAAGCGGGGTCCACACAGCGTGGGAGAGGAGGCTAATGGATTTGCATCTTTGGGGTTCAGCCTGTTGTGGGAACCAGGCAATCCCGTGATCGGCTTATTGGTGGGCCCTAGCACAGAGCCACCGTTCTGTTATCCTGCGATTACAGTTTAGCATGTTGTGTGAACACGCTGTGCAAGAACTAAAGGTTTCTTTTCAACCACCTCCCTGCAAGTTGTGATTTTCCTTTTGCAGGCATGTGAAGTCAGAAAGAAAGCCACCCCATGGCTGAGCCCCGCAAGAGATGTCAACGCCGTCAAAACCTCCCCCCCTCCCCACCGGACTTGTCATCCAGCAGCCGGCAGATTGTGCCACAGGGTGATCTTAACCTCTGAACAGCTTCAGTGTTCATGTAAATCAGCGTTCCTCAACCTTGGCAACTTTAAGATGTGTGGACTTCAACTCCCAGAATCCCCCAGCCACCCATGGCTGGGGGATTCTGGGAGCTGACGTCCACACATCTTAAAGTTGCCGAGGTTGAGAAGCACTGATCTAAATTCATTCTGTTGTGCGGTATTGAGTGATTTCAGTAGTTCTGTATTGAGTCATCCAACAGAACAATATTCCCGCTGATTACATTATATCACACTTAATATATGTTTGGTCTATGCTGAAGGTATTATGCAGACATTACAAGGAAATGTCACATTTCAGTGAGCATGTAATAGGGATGCATGTGTTTGTGCACGCGCACGTCTTTTTATAAAGACAACGTCTTCCTTCATGGATGCATGATCCACAGTGTTTTCTTGGCACCAGTGCAGAAGGGCCTGGCCACTGCCACTCTCTGCCATGCGTTTGGATTTCCTGGTGTAGCCTACCCTCTCGGATATCCTGGTGGTCTCCCATCCAAGCATTCACCAGATATCACCCTGCTTAGCTATTCGAGGTGCTGCCCCTTGCTGAAGGTGTGTTTTTACATTCCATGCTAACTTTACTTTTATCTATCTGTAAAAGCCCTTTTCGATCTTTTCACTCGCTTGGTGAGTTGCCTGCTGTTCTGAACAGAAAACTGCTTCGGCATCCAAGCCACAGTCAATTGCTCCAGCCATGTTTGCTGTCTTGGCATAAATGGGTGTGGCCCCATTTCAGGGATGTCTGCAGTGTTTGGTCAAAAAAGTCAAGATGGCGGCCACAACAGCGCAGTGGAAGCTCCGCCTGTTTTCATGTACCTTGTGTGTGCCTCAAGGACCTGGCTTCGGCTGGCTCAATTAGCAGCCAGCCCAGTCAGGGGAGAGGCCTGTCCTCCCCCCCTCAGCAGCTGCCCTCTCTTGTCTGGGTTCAGGGTCAGGATGGCAGCAGTGCACGGACAGAACAGGCGGAGCTCCAGCTGCACCTGACTTTTTTGACCTCCCCTGCAGACACTCCATTTGGGCTGAATAAAAGCCCACCGGCGCTTGGGGAAGACGATGCCCAGATAGGTTTGGGGGCCAGAGGGTGAGTTTGGGAAGTCGACAGCACGTTGTCAGTTCTCTCACAAAATGGCTTGTTGGCCAGCTGGCATGATCCGCGTGGCCAGAGTGCAAACTGGCAAGGTTGCTCCAAAGTAACATCGCCCCCCTGCCCCCCGCCAGCATTCCCTTCCTGCCTATCTGTGCACACTTGAGTTTCCTTTGCAATCTAGGAGGCCGCTGTGCGTGACGCCCAAAGACAAGGCTGGGCTGTGCCTCGTGCCCTCTTCCCTCCCCATTCACTTTTTTCAAAAGAGGAAAGAGGAGAGCCACGTGGACAGGGAACTGGGCAGATCCGGGGGTGCCTGGGCTTGTGGGCAAGGGGTTGCCTTCGCTTGACTCCTCCGAGCCATGGGGGTGTCTGGGGGTGGGGACGAGAGAGAGCAGCAGCAGCAGCAGTTTGGAGCTTAAAGAAGACATCAAAGCAGACGAGAGCAGCTGCAGGAACCATCATGGGGCATCAGAGAGCTGCTCTGCCTTGCTAATGAAGCTCAGAGGGCCTAGAGCAGGGTTTCTCAGCCTTGGCAACTTTAAGGTGTGTGGACTTCAACTCCCAGAATTTCCATGTTGGCTGGGGGATTCTGGGAGTTGAAGTCCACACATCTTAAAATTGCCAAGGCTGAGAAACCCTGCTCTAGAGTAAACCAGGTAAACATTCCCTGCGTCCTAAGGCAAGCACGGTCCGGAGTTTTGTGCCAGCGAGAAACGTGGGATGCTCTCACCGGTATCAGGAGCAGCAGAGGCATGTTTCAAGGCCACAACGCCTTGCCTGTTTCCTAAAGAGCGAGAGCCACCGAAGAGGAGCTGGTGCAGCGCGCTCCTGGGCATCCCCCTGCTGCAGAGCTGCAATGTTTACACGTGGCCTGTGGCACCAAGGGCTCTGTTGGGCCACGCACTCCTGGCCCCTCTCCTTGAAAAGGGGCTGCCTTCGTTATGCCAAACTATAAGGGGGTCCTGCCAATGGGCAATGATTCCCAGATCCAGCTTCCTTGGGGCATTAGAAGCCCCCCGTGGCAGGGTTGCAGGGCTTGAATCCCGGTTGCCCCACACAGCCCCGTCCCTCCCCCTCGCAAACCAGGAATGGGGCCAGTCTCGAGAGTATTTGCTCTGTATTATTTCTTTGTTTTTCTGCACAAACACATATCGGTACTCCGTAACATGACTGTAGGGAGACAGAAGAACATTCCAGGAGGCATAAGTCAACGCGATACAGAGGAGACAAGAGGAGGCATTCGGCACGAGGCTCTTTCGCCAAGGAAAAGAAGTGCAGAGCACGGTCCGGGTCAGGCGCTGATCCTGTCTGGCCCCTGCTTGAGGGGGCCCCTCTTTCTCATTGCTTTGCGGGGTCTGCTGGAAGAGCAAAAGCAGGCGAGGAGGTGGAAGAGGAGACGTCGACGTCCAGTACTCTGTGGCTGCTTCGGGCGCACCGCTGCCTCCCTGAGGTCACCCCCCCAGGAGCGCTTCTGACGCAGGAGACCGTGAACCTTCCACGGTGTGGAGGGGGAAGGAGCATCAGGCCAGTTGGATCAGGGAGGCAGGTCGCTGCGGCACACCGTCAGTGTGGCAGCCAGCATTGCATAGGAGCTCAGGGCACGGTGCACCACGCAGGCCCTTTTCTACCCTCCGGTGCTGAGTCTCTGTTCAGCTCCAGAACCGTCTTCAGCGAGACATCATCCTGACAAACTCTGTAGACAAGGGAAGAGGCCAAAGAGAGAGTGCTGGACGTGGCCTTCTCCCACCGACCACGGGTCCTTCCAGACCAGTGTTTTTCCAACTTGGCCACTTTAAGATGTGCGGACTTCAACTCCCAGAATTCCCCAGGCTGGCTGGG